TTTAAAAAAGTTGTTATATGGATTTGAATGATTGTTTTGAATTCTTAGAATTTTGTGCATTTGCAATGTACCTAAGTTAGTAGCGAGCGAAGCAAACCATACAAGATTGCGCAGCAATTTTCGGGGTTGGAGAGCGTTAGCGAGCAGGGGGCGCAGCTCACTAGTTCTATTGAATTTATATTTGCACAGAACATTTCTCACCAGTTTTAACAATGATCCGCTTAGGATAGAACACAAATCAATGCAAATTTGAAGATTAATGAATCATTTTTTGGAATTTGCAAATCTGCATTTCAGACAACATTTAAGGATTGAACAAGCTTTTTGTTATCTATGTATTAAACGCAATTGCAACTTATTATGAGAATCTGAAAATTATTCAAAATTTTGCTGTTAGATATAAAAATGAACACATTAAGAAAGTTTGTTTATACTTTACCTTATAGATTATTCGGGTATCTGTTCAAATAGTAGATTCAAACTTCTATCCGAAATTTTTGCCCTCTCTGACCAAGAACCTATATTTGTAGCACTTTTGCACAAGATCGGTATAGTTAAAAGAAATAGTTCAGTTTAAAAATAAGAGTTAGAGAACTTTTGAAACACTCATTTGAGTCGAAATCTATTTATTTACTTAGCACCAAACTTACGATTTTTCAAATCTTAAATTGGCAACATTTAATTTATACGTGAATAAGTTGAACCTATTACTTTTTTAAAACACATAAATACTCATTTCATTTTATAAGAAACATATCAATGTTGAAAGATTTAAATCCCTTCCTTAAAAATATATTTTAGAATTTTAATAAATTATCTTGAATTTGGATAGGTCGAATAAACCTGGTATTTATACTAAGTTAACATTCTCAACTGAAATGGTTTTAAATTTTCGAAGAGATTTAAAGAGACTTTTGCTGCAATATAACATTTAAGTTCTGACTTGGTCATCTAACTTATAAAACTTACTTCAAAACAAAGTTTAAGTATAATTTATTTGGAACTTTAAGTACCTTATAGTTTATGTACCCATTTTCGAAATTTTCAATTAAAACAAGTTTTGTTTATCAGGATTATGGAATATTCTGCATCCTGTAACGATTAATTTGTGTACGAACCTTTTTAAAATAAGCTCTACCATTTATGCATTGAAAACTAATGTCTAGTACCCACTTTTCTAGTTAGAAATTAGCTTTATATCTAGTTAAGAATCCAGTATAGTTAGATAAAGTCATACTTAATCGAGAACAATTTACAACGAAACTAGTTTAATACACAAGATAGAACGTTTTTGAAGTCTACCCGTATTACAGCGGGATTTCAGCCACGATAGTTAGCTGGACAGCAAGAACTAACATTTGACTAAAGTCTACGAATACCTTAGGGTTATGATAACTAGAATGAACAAAAATTCAACGATATTTTGACTTAAATACCTGCCGATTCGAAACTAACTTCACATTAAACTAAGATTTGTTTTATTAATTTATACACTAAACGTATAACGATTTCATATACCCGCTAATCAATTCTGCAATGCTACGCTCTGCTAATGCGTTAAATTCAGATTTTTTGCGTAACTTTGTAGAGCTAAAATATTATTTAACTAGTGCCTGGTTAGTCAGGATCGGGAATTTGAGATTTGGAGGTGTGCATCCACTATGAGAATGTTATGGTTTGTGATAAGATCAACTCTGCAAAAGAGTTTATCCGGGAAAATTTTCAACCATACGTCATTTTAACATGTTTTTATTTTTGATCAAATTTTACAGCCAATTAAAATTTTTTCCTGAATTGCGCATAAGTGACCAATATTTAACACTTCACTTTTAATAAAATATTAACTAATTCAACAATTAATGAAATATTTATTATGAAATTTTAAACGTTTATTTATATTTCATTCTTCAAAATCTTCACATTTCTGAATTATTTTCTTACAGTAAGAGCATGGACAATTACAAGACTATGCATTTAAAAAAGATTCACGAACTAAGACAGTTTCAGGGTATTTATTGTTCATGTTGCTCAATAGAGATCTTCAAAATTAAAGCTAAAATGTTTCATTTGTGTTTTGTATTTTATTAATTTTAGCTTTTTGGTATAAGTAATAAGTCATCCAGTCTTAGTACAAATCACTAGTTCTAAAATGTCTTCCAAGTTAAGAATTTGTTTTAGCTTAAAAAAATTCAATTTCTGACTTCGTAAATAGTTATTAAAATAGATGCAAGCTTTTAAAACTTAATTGGTATCTTTAATGCACCTGTGAAAATTTTATTTTATCCGAATTAGAAATTTCAAAATTCAAATAAAGCTGAATTTCAGTATTTCTAAAAAAGATTTTTCCACGCAATTTTCACTAAACTTAATAAAATAACTGAAAATGATCGAAACCGCATAACCCTAATTAAAAAAACTTACTATATCATAATTGAAATATAAGAATTAACTCTTCACTCTAGATACTCTTAATACAAGAATTTTTACCGCGTAATTATGCCCCATTGTTTAAAATTATTTTGCCGCCGAGTCAATGAATTGTTAGCTTATGGTTAAAATATATATTATAGTTAGTATTATGTTAGTCTTATGTTAGTATTTAGCCAGAAATAACGTACATGAAATATGAATGCATAACTCAATTCCTTAAACATGAATTGCTTCAAATTTGCTCATCCAGGCATATTTACATTAAAAAGGGAAAATTTTCTAAATTTATTTACTTTTTGAAACTATGGATAGATAGTGGCAGATTCTTTTAAATTTTTAAGATATCCTTTTATCACGTGCTATGCTCATAGCCAGTTTCGAACAGCTAAACTAGCCGAAGCATCCGTAATAAATATTGTTCAATGTTGAAATTTTTATTTGAACAGATACTTTTGACACTGAATATGTATCAAAACAGCTAAAAACATTTAAGAGGTGATATGAAGCAAATTGAGGCAAATCAATTTAAAGATTATCGTTATGCAAATAGACTCGGCGGCGAAATAAGATTAAAAACAAGACTAGTTTTGTAGAGACCCATTTATTAATGTATTAAAAATAACTTATTAGAAATATAATTTCAGTTTATCTTAAGAAATCAACTGGCAAGTTGAAATATTTTGTTTACCAAAATTCTAACTTATCTAACATTTTCAGTGCATGCGATAATGTGTATAATTAGTTCGATTTACAGATAAAAATTACTGTTACGCCAAGGCGTGTTAGAAGCTACCAGTTTTCTTTTGAGTGGCAAAATTAGAACATTTCTTGAGCAAACCTGGTGCGTTCCGCTACGCTAACTTAATTACTAGACTACGCTAACTTAATTCTCAAGCTTTATATAAAGCACATTCTTTTAGATTTGCATATAGATTCTTTTAGATTTGCATATTTGCATATAGAATGTGCTTTAGATTTGCATATAAAGCACATTCTTTTAGATTTCATAACTAAAATGGTTATTGCCTGTAGATTATATATAAATGATAGACAAATTTTAAATTTAAATTGGTTTTGTGAAATTTATCTTAATACAGTTACGTAAATGAAACTAAGACCTAATGTGGGAAGTGCCAACTTAGCTTTGATGGAAAACAATTAATGTTGTATAGTTAACTAAGATTAGGACAAAAATAAAATTTCAAAAATGCGATACTATGACGAGACGGCTAGTCTCTATAGCATGAAGGGTTTTAAATAATTTAAGTGATGGGTACACAGACAGATCCGGAATAGTAAGATAAAATTGCTATTTCGAACAGTACGGGTTACCTTAAATACGAAAACTGGTATTTAATAGTATTTTACTGGTGAGATAGGATTAATTGATAACTATCAATTTCATAAAGAGTGTTTTATTAAGGTAACACTAAATTTGTGATATTTTATGTACTAGGTTTCGGGTTTCTAAGCATCTCGTTACCTCAAAGAGTTTTAAAATTTTGATTTAATAAATACCGGTTTTCACCCAGGCCCTGAAATTTTTTTTAAAGATTAAAACAAGTTTAAGAGTTCATTTTAATAATATCCTGAAAATTTTAGGTGCGAATTTTGTCTATCACATATCAATCCCTCAAATCTTTTTTACTTCAGTTTTGCTTAAACTTCAGATTAAGTGTATTTTAACAGTGGACTTTGAAATTAACCCCCCCCCCACACACACACACATTTGCGATTCTAAAATACGAAAGTAACGCATGATGTATTTGGTGGAAATACATTGAAAAAGAATTTAAAAACTTGTAATACCAAAATTAAATCAGATATAAAGTTTTATTTATCTAAATACGTTTCGTCTGAGAACCGAACGAAGGTATTTTAATTTTTAACAATTCTCTGAATTCAACGATTTGAATTTAAACTGCCACAGCAAAACAATTCTTTTGAATAATACAATTTTTAGATTTTAGTTAGTATACTGGACAATAGTTCTGAGGAAAAACACATATAAATCGAAATTAGTCCTTTTGCGCTAATATTTAATTTTTCTATAATATGTCATAGCTGATAACGAGCGATAGATAACAATAAGCTTGTCTTAATAATTTTAAGACTATTAATAGTACGTATATAGACATTAGAGAAGGTGCGTCTACTTTTTAGAGACTAAATTCAATATAAAATATTTAATGGGTAAATATGACTCAAAATAATTTAAACCTAAAAACTTCTAGATTTGATAAAAAGGAATATTTAGGTAAATAAGATTTAATTATTCTTTAAGTTTAAGAAAAATCTCTGAAATAAACTTTTAAACTATGTACACTTAAATTTCATATAATTTACAAATATGTATTTAGATTTAATTAAAAATATTTATGCACTTAATTCTTATAAGAGAAAAACTTAAATTATCAAAATATTGAAAATGGAATTTTCATATAATTCAAGGAGAATAAAAATAAACCTCGTGTTCATTCGAAGAAATACGATCAGCGTTTCTGTTATGTCATGACGACTAGGCAACTGAAGTAGATCACCTTGGCAAACTACGATCCTCATGGCAGCTAGGTCAGCAATGGACATCTTGGCAAACTACGATCCTCATGGCAGCTAGGTCAGCAATGGACATCTTGACAAACTACGATCCTCATGGCAGCTAGGTCAGCAATGGACATCTTGACAGACTGATGCTCATGGCAGCTAGGTCAGCAACGGACATCTTTGAAAATACGGTCCCCAAGGAGACTATATGACGAGGAAATACTCAATGCAAAGCCTGGTTTTAAGCATAAAACAAAATGTCTTTACTCTTATGATCAAACTAACATAGGGATTTTACTTTAGTTAGAGGCAGTGTTTGATATCATTGGGTGAAGTTTTATAACTATTAGCTACGCAAATCTCAGTTAACCCAACAAAATCTTAATTTTACGAAATTCTTAAAAACTTGTAACTATGTTTATATTAGTCCGAACATTTAATTCCTACTCGTAAGACCTCTGAACTATATGCTTGCTTTTTAAATATCATTACAGAAATCTACGAACAAAGACAGACGGAATTTAAATGAGAATGAAATTTCAATTACCAAAAACGTTAAATAACCACGGAATTAAGAGATTTGCAGTCAGATATTCGTGAAAGTTATTTTGGAGCTTTGAATAAATGACCAAATTTCATTAGTCTCTTGATCATAGATAATTGGCTTTTATTGGTTGATAATTGACTTTCATCAACAGAAGTATACAACCAAGTAACTAAATGAATCACAAATAATTTACATTGCTAAATAGTACTTAAAAATACTGTAACTTGAAAAGGATTGTTTATAATTAGAGAGAGTATTAAAAAACAATTTGGTACGTAATTCATGCTACAAGAAAATTCAACTTTTTTTTAAATATTTTCGATTTTTAAGTTTAAATAAGCTCTTTGCCCTAAATTTCTCTTTAAATATCAAGATTTGTTAATTTCAACTCAATTTACATTTCTTTATAGATTGTAGGGAAAAATCTACGCATTTTTCAACTAATTTCCATACTGCGCAGAAAGAAAGTTTTGGAAAAAAAAACATGAAAATAGTCCCTTTATGAAAGTTTTGGAACATTGAAATTACTATTATATATGTTGCAGCTAGAAAATTTCAAAATAAGCCGACACAAGGTTTTTTTTATTGATCTCTAGTGTCAAAAAAGCTTCATGGGATAGTCAAAATAAGAGCATGGAACTTATTCAATTTTCAGTTCAAAGCAAAATTTTTATTGAGAACAAAGTTTTTCCAATAAAAAGCAAAATAACACTAATATTGTCAAATGTTTTACAAATTCTTGAGATTTTATTATGCTTTTTATATCATTTAATTACAAAGTGGTCAAAGTTAGAAAATAGATTTTAGAGAGTCACGATTTTGGGAGTAGTCCACTGTAGTCTTAAAAAAGCAATTAAGAGCCGTGGTGCCGCCCCCCCCCCTGAGCGTACGCCTTCCAATGATGCTACCTAAGCATAGGCTGATAGATACCAATTCTGCTCTTCGCTGTAACCGACCACAGTTCTGACGTAAAATATTCTCAGTCGGATCATGGTTTAGAAGCTAGTTACCATCAGACTCATCGTGAAAGGATTTACGCAATTTTTAAGACTTAAAATTAAATTTAATGTAAAGTCTAAAAATGTATAAAATATTAGTCAAAATAAGTTCAAAACTATACATGTTTCATGCCACGCTAATGGCTCTACAGTAAATTCTAATTCATAAATTTCAAAATACCTAAATTAATGTTATTACCCGAGTTTTTAACTATTTTGTAATTTCAAAAAGAATTAACTATACATTAATATTAAATCTTTAAGGAAAAATTTTATATTCTTAATTCTTGATGATATTCTTGATAAAAATAACAAATTCACACCTGCACCCTAGCTCATCTCCAACATTATACAAAATCTACATGCAAAGTTTCAAGCAAGTCTAAAGTAAACTATTATGTGTGCTGAAGTAAAAAATCTCCTAATCTACGTTCTGGAAATACATTTAAATTAATAACAAAAGTCTGAGGGCAAAAACTCAAAGTTTTCAGAAAATGATATGTCTTTATATAAAGTTTATATAATATATAATAAATTGAAAATTTAATCTTTTAATTTATTCAGACTAAAAGGTTAAATTTTCAAAGCTTAAAAATATTCAAGTGTCTTTATGAGTCTACTTTCATTTTCATTTGCGAGTGCGAAAAAATTAATATCATTTCAAAAGGTGGATCAAAAATTTAAAAGGTTTTCAAAAGCCAATAAATACAACGTTCTAACGATGAAATGTTAAACAGTAGACTCATAGAATTTCTATTAAACAATTCTTTGATCAGATCAAAATAAATCTTAACTTCCTTACCCAATCTAAATCGGATAATGATGACCAACATTCTTCTGTAAGGAATAGTTTTTTTAATCTAGCATAAACTTCGTGAAGTAAAGTATCAAACATCTATTTTTCAAGTAGCTTCTTGGATCCTGCAAGAAAATAGGAAACCTGTCATTAAAAATATAAAATTTGCTGCATACACAGTGGAATGTTTTTATACTTTTATGTAATATACTTCAAGTTCGTTGATAAACGTTGTATACTTATTACTAATATAGATAAAATTAAACTAATACTACGACAATACTAGAGTTCGATGCTATATATTCAGGCGCTTAAATCTCCAATTCCGAGAAGAATTGAAAAAATAGAAGACTTAATATTTTAGTTCATTTTACAGTTTTCCAACAAATCTCTCGTCTGAATGAGATTTTAACAGTTTCGAATTTTTTAATCTGTGTACTTCAGAATTCCTGAAGAAATTATTAGTTTCTGATAATTGCAGAAGAACCTAACTAAATTATAGATTGATATTCGTAGCTAGATGTGGTTGACCTACGAATGAAATTTAAAGTACGCAACCACCTGGTAGAAAGTTACCGCGCATTTCTTTACATCGAATAAAATCATGAAATCGATTATACATAAAATGATAAGCTAACAACATAACACAAGCTAACATTCTAAATCTTTAGTTTACAGTCACTGGCCAAATTATTCGACGCACTGTAAGATTCTATACAAAATCTTAATTATCAAGTGATACTACTATACAGCTGTATTGTTTTTACGCAACTGAAACCGGTTTGCACTAGTTTATGTTGTGAAGTACTCAATGCAAAGCCTAGTTTTAAACATAGAACAAAATGTCTTTACTCTTATGGTCAAATTAACATAGCAATGTTTCTTTAGTGATTAATAAGTAATTAATAAAATTTAGGGATTAATAAGATGGCTTGAAAAACTCCGTTTTGAGTTTGAACACAGATTTCTAGATTTCAGCGCCAGTCAAACAGAATTAGATACATTGTCTTTCAACGTAAATTGTGAAACAATGAGGTTGGATTTGCAGCTTTAATTGTTTGTAGTTGCGTCTAAATATGCCAAAGTTTGAGTTTTACAAATTACCAAACGCTAGTTCCCCAAATCTAAGCTCTCATGCCCAGAAAATCAATGCTATGTTTGCTTCATCCTATATACGTTTTTTAACTAGCAAACCTTTGAAAAAAAAAATCACTTCAGAAGTAGATTAACAGATAAGCATTTACCCTCGTACCTTAAAATTAGTAGGGGAGAGTGGGGTCAATTGTAACAGGGTACGATTGTAACAGAGCAAATATTTCGAGTGTCGGGTTCTAGATTTGGTTCCTAGGTGGTGCACAAGGTGTATTTAACAAATCTACATGTACATCCCTGATGGCAACCATTTTTATGTACTTTTGAAAGAGTTACATCACAAAAGATATTTTCACGTCACGCAAGTACTTTTTTTGGTATTAGAATATTTTATTGTAACAAAGTAATTTTGTTTAAACAAATAAAAATTAGTAACCGAATATGTAAGTGGACACCTTAATTAACATTTCAATAAAAAAAAGATTAGTTTTGCTAATTAACTAGCATTGTTTTTAACAAATGAAGCTGAAATGGCGTCTTGGGGACAATTGTAACAATAAGTAAAGGGACGATTGTAACAGCTGAAAATAAATAATCTTATGTTTACAAACCATTACTTAACTCTTTAAGAACCACCAATAGTTTCCTATATCATTTATATTATGTTGCATGTGCATTATTTTATTTGTCACCTTTCACAGCATAAATTAAAATTTTTAACCCCTTAAAGTTAAAAGTTTAACCCTTTAGGTCTCTGCTCATTATTATTTTTACTCCTAAAATATCACTACTATTTTGATCAATAAAAAAATATATCACAACTATGATAATATGTATAATTAACTATGTTTTAGTTGAATTTATGAACTGTTACAATTGACCCCGTAAGTGGGGACAATTGTAACAAGTGCACGACTGTCAAAAATTGTTAATAACTAATATAATAATATTTAAAATCAGGTATTTAATTTTTTTTCTAGTAGAGGATAGTCTACTTTACTCGTCTGTCAATTAATACTAATAATATATTGGATTTTTTGTTAGTAAAAAATAGTTAAGTAAAAAATGTTACAATTGACACCACTCTCCCCTAGACCTCACTTCGACACTCAATATAAGTAACTTTTAAAAATTAAATCGTAATTTCATTCATCTCAAATATTTTAAAACTTTTATACAATTTTGTATTTCAGAAGATTTTACTTAGCCCACTAAACTTTTCAGATTTGTTGAAAAAGTGCCCATCCCTGCTCTAGGGCTAACAAAATAGACCGCAGAAAAAGATTGCCTTTTCTCTCGCCGACCAGAGACAAATCCTGTTCTAAACAACGACCCCACACCTAAACTTGAAATAGTTATACCTCGTTACAGTAACGGGTTCAGACGAATGACTAGGGGAGTTCTTACTTTAGACAAACTATAGCTTATTCCCTTTACAGTGACATATTTCAGAAAAATTGATAAAGAATGGAAAATTTGACTCTTCAATTTTGTTCTTTAGATTATAATAAAAGTTAAAATGGTTTCATTACAAAAATAACATTTTAAATGCAACAACTACTGTATTTATAATTTTTGCATACACATAAAAGGTAATGGATTACACACACATCTTATTCAACTAAACAAAATTTTGAAGCTAAATATAATACAACAAGCATAATATAAAAATACGATTTTCAATACATAAATTTTACAGTATGGTATATCCCAAAACCCCTACCCACATTTCCCTCACTCGACTGAAGTCATTATCGGTGAAAAACTAGAACTTATCTTATCAGGAAAATAGTGAATTCAGTGTTCTAAAGTAGAAATGAACTAAGCTCGGGCTTCACAAAGACTTTAACAAAATTAAAAGTTTATGCAACCTAAATTTAAAAAAAAAATATAACTCTAAACTCCATTATTAAGCTTGAATATACAATATTTTGGAATTCAGTCTGAAACAGTCACAAAACTTTATAAGTCAATTCAATATCGGAGAAGGAAAAAATTACTAAGTTTTAGAAGCAGACTGTTAGATATAGTATTTAAAGTATGTGCAATGTCTAGTATTCAAAAACTAATAATCACGGTAAATCCCGTGAAAATATATATATATAAATAAAAGATTAAAACTATTGTTTCGTAAAACTTTAGTTTGACTGTTCTTCGTCAACTAATCACAATTTTATTTCAAGTCGTTTTTACTCAATAATCTAAAGATAATTTTAACTAAGCGAAACTGATAATTTTAACAGTAATACTTTAAATAAGTCAATATCCCATTAAAATATTCGAAAAAGAACTGTTTTTAAATTTCACTAGAGAACCAAATTAATAAAAGAGGTATATTAATCATTCTCAAAAGCATACCTGACAACATTCACTCTTTTCGAGAACGGATTTTCCAAGTGGTAGTAAAACAATTACCGAAAAACTATCTTCCTCAAAAATATATTTATATTTTAATCAGGTTGAAATTCGCTATCGTAAGGAATAATATGCTTTTATATATTTGTTGTAATTATTTATGTGTAGTGGTGGTCAAACTGACTTAAAATTATTATTATAAATCTAAAAGTTTAGTGAAATAACATGATTTTGCTAGCACTTTAAATATGAAAATAAAATCTTCCGGGAAAACCGGAAAAGTTGGCAGTTATGTTAAAAGCAATCACGAATTTTAGGCAATTGCAAGCATACCATCAATTATCTCAAAAAACTTTAAGTATATGTAAAAGTAGCGAAAATTAGAAAAAGACTTACCGTAAAGTTCTGTAAAAATACACTAGCCTACCAACTCATAAAAAAAAACTCACAACAACAAAGCAAAGATACGAAGAACTCGTTTGGTCCCAATCTTGCCCCATATTTTATATCCCTTAATATCGATAACGATTGGAAATTATTGTCTATCAAAGTTGAATTGAGTTGATGATGAAGAGGATCCATGCCACCCGCGTTTTTTGAGGCCGAGCGTTATCACCTGCCAAAAGTTCTGTAGTGTGGAGGTAGCGGGTTCGAATCCCATCCTATCATGGATGTGTCTTCGTTCTGTCCTTATTTAATTGTAAATCTGTCTTTCTACTTGATAAAGGTTCCGCAGAGGCATGGTTCCTAGCAGATTACCTAGCAGGTCAGTGAGCAGATGGGTGACCATTTGGATTAGTCTGAGTAGGGACCGAGGGTGTGCTGCATGGGTCCTCGTTAAGCTATTCCACCGTAAAGTGCTCGACTTCGCATCCCTTCTAAAGAGGATCAAAATTGTGATGGCATGTCTTCGAATTATCCTCAGTGATGTTTCCCAGACCGTCGCCAATTGTGCAGCTTTAGAGTGACTTAAATAAAGTACCTACGTACCTATTTGATAAAGACTTAAAACCAGTGCTTGCGTAATTGAATGTATGTCATGTAATTGAGAACATGCATGTAATTGAGCACACAAGTAGGCATGCATCAATGAATAAAATACTCGTTTGTAATATATCTTCTGTGAGTTGAGTAAGATGAGGTGACTTTTCAGGGTTGGGAAAAATTCTAGCAAAAGTTGCTGAGGAAATGACATTTTTAGAGAACGATGAAAGAGGCCTCCCTGGATAAGTGGTCTCACCATTCCACCAAACGCTCTCTAACTTGGAAGTAACGGATTGCATCGCCATCCTGAATGTATTATTGCAATTTCCTTCTCGAGTTTTTGTCTCGCAGTGNTTTCCTTCTCGAGATTTTGTCTCGCAGTGGACTGATTGTAAAGACACGGTTCCCAATAGAATATCGAAGTCAAGTGTTACTGATTGAGGTCAGTAAGCGGGTGGGTGACCGCTTTGATCAGCCAGCGTATGGACCGATTGTGCGCGATATCAGTCCTCGTGAAACTGTTCTACCGTAAAGTGCTTGACTTCAGGTGCAAGCCATCCCTCTACAGAGGATTAAAATTGTGATGATAGGTCTTCAAATCATCCTTAAGGGAGGTTTCTCAGACCGTTGCTAATAACCCGTTGTGCAGCTCTAGTACGAAGTAAATTAAATACCCATCTGCCTATATCAAGCTTGAGCTATTTGTTCTTGATATTGACAAGGGTTGATAAGCCGTACTTTTAAATTAGCATACAAGCTTGCCTATGCATGTTAAGTCAGTAAATAAATTAATAGAACGATACAATATTTTAATAGACAACAGTTTGGTTGTTGAGCTCAGGGAATAGAGCGTTCGCCTTCCAATGAGGTGAACCGGGTTTGAATCCCACCAATGACTGGTCGATACGAATCCACATTCGGCTTGCATCGACTATAGTGCCGACGTGAAATATCCTGAGTGGTAGACCGATCACTGGTTAGAGTCCCTTTGCCGTCAGGCTAACCATGGGAGGTTCTCGTGGTCTTCCTCTCCATGTAACGCGAATGGGATTAGTTCCATCAAAAAGTCCTACACGAAGGTAAAATTTCTCCCAATACTTGATCTAAGAATCCCCTTTGTTTTCTGGATTGGGTTTTAAATTACGAGGATACGGAGTTGAACATTAGAAGTCGTATACCCAAAAATTGGGTCGGCTGTTTAACGACGATTGTAATATAAAATAAAATAGTCTGGCTGTTAAAATCACACTAGAGTTTCTCTAATGTTCTAATGGGGACGATCTGCGATTCATCCTACTCATGATTCGAATTCACGCGCATTATACTACCACAGTTTAAATCGGAGAGATGGAAGTAATCGCTCGATCTTCGCACCACGCTCTCCAGCCGGTGAATCATGCCTGTACTGTTCCAGTTCTTAAGCAACCAGTTCGTAACTTTACATTATATTCAAGCAAAAATTTGAAAATTATATTGCCCCAAATTGTAAGATGATAAATAACATATATTACTGTTGTCTGTTCGCTTCGGTTAACCTTTCTTTCACTGCTTGTGGTGCGAAGAAGGTGATGATTTTGATTTCTGTTGTATAACCGGCTTAAAGTCATTATCTCCATGCAGTTGGTGCTGGTTAAAGCGCTGAGGTCTTTTAGTAACTTCAGACACAAAATTGAAACCTCTTTTGCCGCTCGAGACATTAGATACTCAGTTACCTTCCCTATTAAGTCTGTGCCTTTTCTCTAATCGTTTCAATCAAGATACATGTCCTCCTGTCGAATACTTTGAAGCGTACAGGTTTCGGGTTCGATTTCCGTTCTCACCCTGATTGTAACCTTATCAAATTTGTACTATCTGTTCTTTGATTCGATAAAGGTCAAATTAAATAAAATGAAGGGCTTGATTGAATATTCATTTTATGCATGTGAATAAATCAAATAAAATCTAGCAGGGTAGCAAAAAAACAAAATTTCCGCATGACGATATGAACAGATTCGTTCCCCGAAATCTTTGAAAGACCACTACGACAAAAGGATCAGCATATAATGTTTTTATATCGAAAAACCGTTTTTTCTAATGAGTACACAAGTCAGCGAACGTATTTGAAACTTTAAAGCAATTCATAGGGTCAGATGGATTGTTTCAGACTCAAGATCGAGGTATAGCCTCATACATTAACGTTAGGCAGGCCGAAAAATAGTTTTAACCTATTGAGTTAGCAAAGGAATGTGACCTATATTTTACATCTCGAGGGAAAAGGGTTTATAACAACAAATATATTTTCAATGATTAGAAAAATAATAATTATGATATCATGGTGCGTAGCATTTTTAAAAAGTGTTTTAATTTGCTTATTTCTGATTTTTGTTTTTAAAAGCCCTTGAAGGTGCTTTTTACATTGGGTGTTTTTAAAAAGTGCTCAATTTTCCCTTTTTTAAAATGAAATTTTTTTTCTTATGTTGGTTTCGGTCACGTATAGTGCGCTTTTCACATTGTTTTATTCGACGAGTTCACAATTTATTCAACCACAATCCATTTCGGCGTACCTTCGGTCCATAGCGTATGAAAGCACCAATCGCCTTACATGATTGATGAAATACTTGTCAGTCCGCATGTGCGTCTACTGAGCTGTGTTCGGTGAGATTATTGAACTCTGTTGTGCAACTCTGCTGCATTTTCCAAGATATTCTCAATTTCAGACCTCCCCCTTATTTCCCCCTCTGATATCGAACCAAAAAATCTTTTGTTCATTTAATAATGGCTAATATAATCTAAAAAAAGAGTTCTTTACCAGAAACTAGTTATTTTATCATGACCAGGTAAAATCTTTGAAAATTATTTTATTTTATTTTATTATCGTCGTTGAACAACAGACCCAATTTTAGGTTGGCGACTACTAATGTTCAACTCCGTAGCCTTGTAATTTTGACAAGGAAAATCCTGGATCAGTACCCTCAGAGGTATGATTTGTTGTGGTAACATTAAGGACTTTGAGACTCGACAGATTTAACGTGCATCAGTCACCATTTACTACACGGGGAAGATCGAACCCACGACCTCTTGGTCCCAGTGTCCTACCAACCAGGCTATCCCGGCCCTGAAAATTACTTTGCATTATGTTAATGTACATAGAGTTTAAAAATAAATTTTGAGTGCTTAAAAGGTGCTTATTTTTTGTTTAATGGTTTGGCTACTCGAACTGCGATATGTGTTTGAGTAACGAAAAACATGCATTAGACATTTGTCCTGCATTTAAAAGACTTTCAGTGTATGAGCGAATAGACGTGGTTAAAGATCAAAATGTTTATCCCCTAATTCTATTGTAAAAAAGTGTTCATTTAAAAATTGTTTCTGTGGTAAAGCTCCCGAGTTAATTTCACTTCACGAAAGAAATGAAAAACATGGAGTCTAAAAATGAAAACACCCAATGAAGTCGTAAATAAAGCACTGTGGGGGAGGAGGGAAAATGAATTCGATTCTGCTCTATCTCTGGGGCACAGTACCAAATGGTGTCATCAGCCTTTCGTCGCCACAAATCTAAGTCAAAACACTAGGAGTGTTATTTTACGTACTGTGATTGGTGTAATAAAAGATAAAATATTCGCAATAGCAAAAAACTCGTATTCTAACTGATTCTGGTTCTGAAATCTGTGTACCCTATAGGAAAAAAATCCCAGTATAAAATTTTTTATACCGGCTTATGAAACACTGGTTCCGGTATGGTACTGGATCCAGTATTATACCGGACCCAGTACCATACCGGAACCAGTGTTTCATAAGCTGTTATCAAATTGATCCCAGTATAATACCGGAACCAGTATCATACCGGAACCGGTGTTTCATAAGCTGGTATAAAATTTATTCCAGTATGATATCGAACCCAGTATCACTAGTGAACTGCACCCAGCAAACCGGGATGGTGTAACAATTTATTTTTAACACAAGTATAGTGAGGTACTGCAGTTTGATTAATTAAAAACTTACGAAGTTGTTTGAAAAATTAACTTATACAAAATGGAAAGAAAGTTTATCTTTTATTTTCATTAACTTAGAAAAAAAAACGTAAAGACCACTTGTTCCCTCACTGGTGTTTCATCGTTTGGTGATCCAGTGAATAAACACCCCCTTATCTCAGTACTTCATAATGCTATGATGCTTAAAAAAAATAAAACGTAACTTCAATAACTATATTTTGAATTCTCTTTTTCACAGTGAGAAAAATAAAACTATTACATGCAATTAATTCCACTTCAAACATACAAATACAAACACTCACCTTATAATTTTTTCAAAGAAACAAGGCGTTGCAGAAATAATAACAGAGAAGTCTATGTGACCAGGTAATCTAAAACATTGCTAGATGACTTCCTATTGTTTGGCAATAAGCTATTGTTACCAATCAATCTGAAGAAAAACTTACAAATTCTTATTTTTAATCAATATATATGAAATGTTCCTTCACTGGGAAGTGCTCCTGCGCTGGTTGGTTTACCCTCGATAAAAATTTATCCAACATTTCTTTCACTTAAGATGAAAATAAATCTTCGAAATGAATTTGAAGTATACATTAAAATTAAGATTAATATGGTTACAAAAAACGAAAAAAAAAACGAAGTTATTGTGTATTTATAATGCGTTATTTAATAAGCAATAGCACACACTTTTTTTTTATTGATCTAAAAAATCTTAAATATTCAGAGCTAGAAAATTTCATAAATTATTAACAATTTTTCAGTGGGTACCTTTGAAATTTAACATAATAAAAATAAGTTATATTAAACTCTCATTTTTATCGAGCGATATTAGGGCACAATTTATTATGCAGATAGCTATTGATCATCCAAAATAGTTGGATTTAATTACGAAAATTCAAACGAAAAGCAAGAACGTATTGACTTTTACAGCACAGCGATTGTAAGTGAACGGCAGATGGACACGTGTGACGTCAGTTCGCGAATTATCACGCGTTTCAGGTGAAAACGAAAGTAAGTGTTTTTTGATTAAAAATAACTAAATAAATAGCCTTCTTAGGAAAGTAATAAAATGTCTTCTGGGAGTTTTGAGGGATTCTGAATGCATTAAAATTGTAAAAATAATTGACTGTAATTGTCCATTAGCCTGACTGCTAGGGAACTTTAACCCATGATCCGTCTACCACTGCGGATATTTCACGTCAGCACTGTGGTCGGTGCGAGCCGGGTGCGGAATTTGAATCGACCAGTCATCGCTGGGATCGAACCCTGGTCACCTCATTGGGAGTCGAGTGCTCCATCCCCTGAACCACCAGGATTCTAACAATTTAATATTTGAAGAGTTTATAAGTTGAGTAAATGTTTAAATGTAATCAATACCTGCTCTTAGTATAAAATTCAAATTGCTTTAAATGTTGAGACGGCCTTACCTTTTAGGGATCAGTGGCAATATCATTTTTTCTTTCGTAGGAGCACACGTTTTTTTTTGCTAATTCGATATAAATAATAAAGCTGTATAGTATCACCTGATAATTAAGATTTTGCATAGAATCTTATAGTGAGTCAAAAACTTTTGCTAGGGACTGTAAGGGTAAACATACAAGGGTACTATCGCGCATTACCCGGATACCCCGACGTAATGACGTAAATTATTAAAATGACAGTCACTTTAAACAATCCACGCCTAATATACAAATTCAGTAATGACATGCACATATAAAATGACGTCGCTTACGTCATCTGTTAAAAAAAGAATATACCTGTTGAAAGCAGATGCTCGAAATTTAATTCTGTTAATTTAATATGCTCAGCAGAGTAACATACCATTCCAACAAGTTGCCCTCTTCTAATGTGTTAAAGTAAGTTGATATAAAATCTACTTCGTGAAATGGTTGATAAACTAAATTAAAACCTTTTTTTAACCAAAAATAATAATAATCAAATTCTTTGTTAACATTGTAGCGGAAGCGTACAGAGTTTGTGATGAGAATGGCCGATGGTTGTGGGGTAATTGGACAAATTATACTCAATGCTTGGACCTACTACCACATAGTCAGGTAATTCTCTTTCTTTTCTTTTAAATTTTAATTCTACTTAATAATAATCTAGTAAATAATAATCTAATACCTAATATAATACTTAATAACATCTTACTTACAATACTAGAATTATACAATGTTCAAAAATAATATTAGTTTATTAACACCACCTTTTTTGTGAAAATGAGGTATTGCATCAATGTGTTGCCGCTATATTCTTGTACTAAAGTGCTTTAGTTTCTCGTTTTTAGAAGTCAGAATGAGATCAATCAAATATCAACTGCTCTAATTTCTATGATTTATCTTCCTGACAATGGCCATTGTGATGGATTGGTTTAAAAGATCTCACAATCCCTACATCTATCGAGCATTCGCGCTGTTGAAGAGCGATCCGACATTTAGATCAATAATCATTCACAACCGGAAAGTTCTATTTTTCAAGCAAGTTTAAATTTAAAATTTACAACAGATGGTTTTTAAAGGGG